TGTTAGTTCGAAACCGGCTCTACGATAAGCGGTCGCAGGTGTGAGGCGTGGCAGCTTGATGACACCGCTTGGTAGACATAAAACTGAGGAGCACAATAACAAGAACTTTGAAATCAAGTGCACGATATTAGCGCAGGAGACGGAAATTTCGGCAAGAAAAGCATTAGAGGCATTCTGGATTTTCCAAAGAAATCCAAAAATGAACGGCAAAGATGAGTGTCCGTCCATAACTAATTATCTTTTGCCATATATACCGCACTGCGAGTTGTGACTCAGTAGCAGTATAACGAGATCTTCCTTATCACAAGTCTAAGGGACACAGCAATAGGTCTCATTCGCTACTGACTGTCGCCCGTGGCGACAGCGGATTTTCTTCGCGTGAGCGGTGGAACCTTGGTGAGTCGCTAACAAAATACGGGTTTCGAGTATACCTTCAGTTTGCAGTAGGGGTCAAGACGCTTATTGGATTACGTGTAAATCACCTCGAATTACGTTTAGGCCTCTGAAGACGACGATTGCGTCGAAACGTTAGGTCGTTTGACCAAATAAACTGTTCCACCTGAAAACCTCGTGTGGCACAAGATCATAAACATCACAAATAGCAGCTATGCCGAGGTTAAAGCAAGACAGAAGTTGGAGACACTTGGCAGTTTTAATTACTAGTTTTAATTACTCGTAAATAGTACTTCCAACTCTATCGATACACCAAGATCGCTATTCAAAGTACAATGGGAATTTCCCGTACACTGGACAGCCATTCCTCCTGTTTACGTTTAGCCTGCTCTCAGCTTGGTTAATCCTACTGGGGGTATATATTTCTCCTACACCAAAACAAGGTTATTGCAAGTTACTGAATTGGTCATCGGCTATTTTGAGTGAAACACTAGTTTTGACTTGCTGGTTTTTTGTATTTTCGCTGTTCACTGCTCACATCGACTGAGCCACTGTTGTACGTAAAAATACTGATAAGGTTTGACTAAAATGTCATTGTCAAGGTCTGGCAACCTTTGAGCGGTAAGGGATCTGAAGGCCTGATTTCAAATCTGCGTTCCGAATTCGTCAAACATCTCCCCAAACGAAGTTGTATGGTGGTTTTAGATGAGTGCTTGAAACAAGTCCTTGAGAAATGGGAGCAAAAGTGCTAACAGCGGTGGTTTGGGGCAGCGGTAAGCGTGACGCTTCATGTGCATGAGAACATTGTTTAGGTTTCCGGATGTAGCTTTTGCCTTTCGCAGGAAGCTTTCCTTGAGAACGGGACCTTTGTGCGCTACTTTACCACCTTTAGCTGTCTTTTTGATGCCTGAAGTGGTTTGGTTCCTATTTAAGCCATACAGTTGTCACTACTGATTATGTATATCGCTTTCTCTGTAGATTCTCTGAAGGGAGTGCATATACTGCAATTCCTTGTCACAAGAGGCTCGACAAGAGCGGAAAGGGTCGTGCAGTCAGTCTGTGCTAAAAGACGCTTTTTCATAGTCACGTCTTGCCTTTTCGCCTCTGGCCACATTATATTAGGTCAGAAGCTGTTGGTGTTGATCTAGGCCTTTTGTAAAAATATTCTACATTACTCTGCGTTCATAGATTTAGCTTTGGCAAGAAACTAATGACGAAATTTCAATGCAGGAGCTTTTCCGTGCATGGGACTTGGATGTCCTAGCGACTGAAATGCTCATTATAAGGAAGCACTTCAAATTGGTGTAGCACTCACCAACACACAGTAGCTAAAAAGTCTTCGGTGAAATGCTTTGACGCTTTTTCGTTCATAACTTTTTTCTTAGCAAACCAAATCGCGCGAAATTTGGATATGTTTGACTAGAGCATATTTTACTTCATCCAACACTGTTTGACTGCGAAGCTGCATCATTCACAGATAGAGCAAGGTGTTTGTTGCGGTAGCAGATTTTGCTAAAAGTAAAGTTGTTGACGTCTGCTCTTATTCGCACTTTATGTGCGTTTTTCTCATCTATTGTGTTCGGCATTACCACTTGTACACTTCAGACATGACAAAAAGAAAAGAGATTTTAGAAGGGCCATCATCTGTATTTTCAGTCGATTTTGAGTTCATGCTCTTTGGAATATCTGAAACCCGATCAGATTGCAAGTTAAAAGTGGTGAATATTCACAATACACCCACGCTCCAAATATAGAAATTTTGCAAGATTAGATCCAGCAGGAAAGGAATTAAGACTGAAAAAACCGTCCAAGAACCATTTCACCGAAGGCTTTTGAGCGCTACTGTACACAAATATTGCTGGTGTGGGCTGTTGAGCCTTTTTGCAATGTCATAGAGCTATCAAGACTGCTTGTCTTCCAGTAAAATGTTCAAAATATCAGCACATGCGTAGGCGCTAATGATCTCAATTCTTGCGTACACACTCGCGACTCTACTCTCCGCTCGCTATCACTTCTCTACTTTTAATTGCGTACTTCTAAATTAAAATGGTTTTCTGCTCTCATATGCTGCTGGTTTCTTGAGCACTCATTCGGGTGATTTGGAGACGCCTGTAAGTTACTGTCTTCCGTTCGATTTAGGACGCAATTCGAGCGCACTTTGAATGTAGAATGGGAAGTGCAAAAAACCTTTGACCATATTGTATAGGAAACAAACCACCTTAAGCATCGAAAAGAAAGTCGAAGGTGAATGGTAGAAAGTCAGCGCACGAGAACGCTCAGCAGAATATAAAAACCACACCCTCGACAAAACCTCAAACATGGTCTCATGCCTACGCCAACGTCTTTCCTCTGCTCCAAATCGCCGCTTTAGCACTGTTGCTTCCATGTCTTGAGTGTTTGTTTGCCTGAAACCACCTTCATAACTTCGTTTAAAGAATCGTTTGCCAGATTTGGAACGCAGATTGCAGATTCTAAATTAGCACCCGGAAATACGTATAGCAGTATAAGTCACAATCGGAACATGGTCAATAGCAATATCATAGTCAAAAAACAGCAGAGACAAGTCATCAAAGCCATCAGAGAGATGCCCCCATTGCAAATTCCGCCACCGGGAACATTTCTCTTCTTCTTTTCTTTAATATTTTCTTTCTCCCATGGGCTTCTGAAATCTTTGCAATGCGTCTTAGCCTGTCTATATATATATGTATATATATATATATATATATANATATATGTATATATATATATATATATATATATACATATATATATGTGCGGCTCCTTTTCTCTTGATAAACGTAAACTTTCGGATTCGAGATTTCTGTAGAAATAATTTTCTCGTTTTCTTCAACAAAAATATGTCTAGAAACTCATATTCATATATGCCAAAGTATGCGCTATTACTTTGAGAAGTGTTGGGAGGCGGCACACTCATAACGTGATCTAGACGAATTCCTCGGCGATGGAACAGTCAGCCAAAGCCCAATAAAGAATGGAATTCGCTTCTACGGTCGCCTTATTCACCAACAGAATTTCCTGTGGATTATAACGCTGATCTCCCTTCGAAAAAGTGGTTAACGAACAGAACTTCCGACAAAGTGGATGGCTTGATTGCTGACGTTAAGGCGTGATCACCTCCAGTATCGAAACTTCTTCGCCTGTGAAATCCGACCGCCTAGCAAATGGGAAGCAGTGCATTACGTAGATGGTGGATATGTTCCGGAGCAATTATTTGAACATATCTTTGTCAGATATTTCTATCGTTACTTCAAGTGAAATTTGCTGAAAAAATCCGAAGTAATTATGCATCAACCTAATATATTATGAGGGTTTTATGGCAAGTAAATATTCCCAACAAATAATGAATGTGCCTGCAGAGTCCCGGATGCATCATTCCTACAGAGTGCGTAGCTCCTCTTTGGAAATGGTAAGTGTCATTTGAAAAATCAAGAAAACATATGCTCTTCATAAAAAACATGTAATGCACCTGACTTCAGATGATCAAATACCTTTTCCTCTTGATATGAGGCAGACTGTTTGCAAATTAAGGAATAGCATTGTTTCTGTAGAATAGGCAAATTACCAAATGGAACGGGGTCCACTTATATATTTCAGTTTGAAAAGCTGCTGACATTTGAAAGTGGCGTATTGATTTGAAAGTGGCGTATTGCTAAGTTGATCTATGATATAGAAGTGGTTAGTACAACCTGAGAATGCAACTGTTTTTTTTTCTTCGTTTCAGACACGACGACTGCTTCTCAACTCACTTATCACTTTCAATATAAGCGAACGCCTTCTGCATACAATTATCAGTCTACAACTTCTCTCTTGCTTTAACCTCGGCACAGATGTTTCTGGTTACAATATTCTTGTGCCGGGCGAGGTTGCTAGGTGGAACATTTATTAATCACAACGGTTTCACGCTTCGACGTTCTCATCTTCTTCAGAGGCCTTAAGCAACTCGAGACTATTTGCACAGTATACAAAAAGCGCATTACCCCTGATGAATGTTACGGCGAATTCAAAATCCATAATTTGAGACATAACTCACCAAGATTGCCACCGCTTAAGCGGGTATAAAATCCGCTGTCGCCACAAGCGACTGTCAGTAGCGAATGAGACTTATTGGCTGTCTCCCTTATACTTGTGATACTTGTGATAAGGGAGATCACGTTATAATGCTACTGAGTCACAAGTCGCAGTGCGGTGTTTATGGCAAATATAGTATAATATAGTATATGGTACCCAGCCGTTGCTGGCTTAAGCGTTGTCTAGACCAACTGATGGGATCTCGTGGTTTCTCATTAATATTGTAAGCCAGCTGTTGCCCATTTTTCCATCTCACCTGCCCAGTACTAAGCATTTTCTCGAACTATTACATAGCTCAAACCATGGTAAGAGTAATGAAATCGAGTCGTTGACGTCGTTTCGCTTTATACCAATGTCCAAAACGAGCAGGCCCCACAAGCATTATCTGTGCTAGATAGGCATGCTAATAACATTAATACCTTTGGACTTAGTCAAATGCATATAATGACGTTGGTCAAGGAATGCTTAACGTGCAACATCTTTAAATGGAGCACTTTTCTCAAGTCAGAGGTCTTGCAATGGTACAACGACTAGCACCGGTTCTTGCTGTGCACTTTATGGGCAGAATTGACGAACCGGTTCTTGAACGAAATCCTTTAATGTACTGTAGATATATCGATGACCGTTTCGCCGTAACATCAACACAGTTCGAAATGGACGAGTGTTTTTATATAATGAATGAACAGTCACAGCACATTAAGCTCACCCGAGAAGTTCCACGTGATGGTTGTTTCCCTTATCTCGACACTCGGGTCAAAGTATCCAGTGGCGTTGTTAGTGTGAAGTGGTACCGTGAAACTATGTAGTTCTAAGAGTATCTTACTTCACGCTACATCAGCTCATCCACAAGCCGTTAAACATGCAGTCGTTAACAACATGTTGAGAACAGCAACAAATGTCTGCACGGGTGAAGCTGAACGACTCGAATGAGGGTGTTAACTTGCGAGATAGCTGCTGTGAACGGTTATACGGTGTCACAAGTTATAGAAAATCTCACACTAATACGCAGCGTGCTACGCCGCAAAATGAGTTACCGCTTTGTCTTCCCTTCATCTCCGATAAAGTGAGCGATGCTACACAGCGGAGCATTTTCAGAGCTGGGCTGCAAGATGTACAATTAGTGAGTACTCCTAAAAACAATATCAAGCAGCCATCAGTTCGGAATACTCTATACGACAAGCAGTGTATAACGAAAGATTGCATCATGTGTCCTTACGGAAAAACAGGTGATTGCGCACTGATAGGCGTGATCTATTGGATAGAATGCCGGACATGTGGGTCAACATACATCGGAGAAACGGGAAGACAACTAGCTTTACGAATAGAAGAACACCTAGCTATGAGGCGTGGCAATCTGATAACGGCGCTTGGTAGTTGGAAAATTAAGCATAACGGCAACAACTTTGAAGTTGAGTGCACGATATTAGCGCAGGAGATGGAGATTTCTGCGAGAAAGGCATTAGAGGCGTTCTGGATTTTCCAAAGAAATCTTGCAGTGAATGATAGAGATGAGTGCCCGTTCATAACCAACGATCTTTTGCCGTATATACCGCACTGCGACTTGTGTGTGACTCATTAGCATTATTACGTGATCTTCCTTATCACAAGTATCGCAAGCATAAGGAGACAGCCAATAAGTCTCATTCGCTACTGACAGTCGCTTGTGGCGACAGCGGATTTTATATCCGCTTGAGCGGTGGAACCTTGGTGAGCAATGTCCCTAATTAGGGGATTTAAATTCGCCGTAACATTCGTCAAGGGGTAATGCGCTTTTTGGACACTGTGCAAATAGTCTTGAGTTGCCTTAGGCCTCTGAAGAAGATGAGAACGTCGAAACGTTGGGCCGTTGTGATTGATAAATGTCCCAATTAACAACCTCGTCCGGCACAAGAATATTGTAACCAGAAACATTATAGCAAGCGCCTTTGGTTGACTTGTCCTCAGGAACTTTGATGGACTTAGAACTTCAAAATCGAACTTTTTGAAATTCTTGATTAATCGCTCTGTAGACCTCGAGGAGCTGAGTTGAACAATATAGCATACTGTATAAAAAAAGTGAAAAAAGCTGAATAACCTACCTTTAACAATCAGGGTGGTTATTGTATAATAGCTTAGCGAAGCTAGCTACAGTTCCCACCCTAATTGCTCATAAAGTGACGAACCAAATGCAGAAACGTGTTTTTTGCGTGATTTTTCGAACAATCAGGATGGGTATTGTATGTCGAGTGAGGAAGAATTTCCCGGAAGGATTTAATACATTTACGAAAAATCTAGCGGAGGATAATCTCATCAAAGGTTCCCTTTCAAAAAAACTCAGGGCAATCCAGAATGTCCACCCCGTTTCTTCTCACGGCCAGACCAATCTCGAAAATCCACTCTCCTATCAGATAACTCTTCGAATGTCTCTTATTGTTCACAGTGGCTGAAACGACGATATCAATAGGAGCTTGACCCAGGGCTCATTTATCACTCTAACCTAGTCAACTATTCCAACTTGTAAGTAGAGCCATTGAGTTCATGTAGGTATAAGACAGTTTGATCGGATAGGAACAAATTTTTACCTTATGTGTGGGGTGTGGCTTCATAATTACTATCGTTGCATCACCACCAACAGAGCGTAGAAAAGCGCAGGTGAAGTGAAAAGCGTAGAAAATAAGTAAACCCAAGCTTTCCAGTAGACAGTGTGTTTGCTCTTTAGGATTAGAATAGGAGCCCATGGTATGAGTAAAGTGCAGATCAAAGAGAGTTACTCTGAACGGCTAATATATCAAGGTTCCGTCACAAGCTGCTCAGTCAAATACAGAAAACGCGCCCGCTCAACCTCACAATCTTAAAAGGCGGAATTACGGTTCTACTGGTCACCTCCAGGTAATTATAGTAACTGTCTGTTCACCATCTAGTGTTTGTAATTTATTTGACCTGTTTTCTTCAGCTCTTAGGAGTGCGACTACCAACAACGCCCCAGAAAGTCGCGTTTCCTCAGGACGCGGCGCTACCATATCGGGTTGATAGGATTGGAGTTGCAGCTGGTCCTCAACGACAGTATTTAATACGAACTGTTGCGTCACAACGAGTCACTACCCCGCCACCGGTTCGTGCTGAAGCCGATACTAACTAGCTGTTCACTATTTACAATTGTTAATGTGATGGATACGGTGGTGACCACGTCGACTTTTAGCGCATTATCATTGCTAGATCCATCAGTGGCTTCTTTCTACCGTGACCGTGAGTTACTGGACTACATGTACTGTATTTGAACTCACAATTTCTCAGCTAATATACAGGAAATGTCTCTCAGCTACGCTTCAGTTGTGCAATGTCAACATTGATTTCTGAGTACTAGTACTTTATCCGTGTTCCTTTTTTCTCTTTACATAATTCTTGCAATGAGAAGGAAATCAAGTGACTCATGACTATTATCAGGGATAGATAGAACGTTCCTTACATTTTGTTCATCGCCCTCCTCTTAAAAGCCTCTTGAAAACAGCACGTACAGAAAATCCTTTGTTATCGTGCAGTCACACTCAAACGGGTGGTAGGCATTTACGCTCAAGCAGCGTTGCATCTGTGGGACAGACAAGCAAAACAAATGCGTTATGGCGCCGGTCCGTGTTGAAGCCTGGGATAACTTGGTAGAGCTCGCGGTCAGGAAATTTGACATAACGTCGCACTATCTCTCCTTCTAGCAAACATGCTGTCAACAGTGACAGTTTCAGAGAGCGTCAACAGTAATTAAGAATATCAATACTATCGTGGATTACCTTAGTGCCTTTGTTGATTTCTTCGAGCCTTCCTCTTTCTTTCCCGATTCCTTTCTTTAGGAAATCAAATTGATACGCATTGTTTGGTGAATTGCGATGGCTGTGGGCAAATGCGTCGCGAAAGGTTCTTTACTCTCTACTATTTTACTCCCCCCCCCCCCCCCCCCANCCCCCCCCCCCCCCCCAGGAACGCATTTCACTAACTTTTTTTGCAGAACTCATTAGTCTCTCCTTGTACAAATCCCTGTAGCACTCGCAGTACCTTGCAGAAAGTGTCCTTCGGCTCGGCTCGAAATTTGCCATTTTCACTGTGAGACCTCTGTTAACATTTCTTTTACTTTTCTTTTTCTTTCTTACTTTCTTAAGGGTGGTTCACCTTCAGAATCGCGGTCAACCGGGAACTTCACTTTAATTCCAATCGCTACAGTAGCGCTCAAAAGTAGTCGGCCAACTTTAACTTGCCGTAACTTTTTCACAGTGGAGCAAATCGCATAAAATTTTGATATGTTTGATTGAAGTATATTTCACACTCTCCAACACTACGTGACTGCAATACAGCCATATCCACATACTAATGGGGAGGCGTTTGTAGACTATGCTGAAAGCAAGTTTGTGACGTCTGCAGTTATCCGCACCTTATTTGCGTATTTCTCCTCTTCTATGTTTGACATTAGCGCTCGTACACTTTGGACACGACAAAAAGGAAAGAAATACTAGAAGCACCAATGTCCTTATCTTCAGTTCGTTCTGATTTCAAGCTTTTTGGGATATATGGAACATGATCAAAATGCAGGCTAATAGTGGTAAATATTCACACAGCACCAATACTACACATATTGAAATTTTGCTTGATTCGATCTAGTAGGAAAGGAGTTACGACTGAAAATCATAACTGAAGAAGCATTTCGCCGAACACTTTCGAGCGCTACTGTATATTATTGAGCATATCTTCTGCTCATCCACTATTATGATTAGATTCAATCTTCACATTACGCTGACGATGCTGATGATCTCAGTGAACTAAGTATTTTATTTTTGCATTATTTCAGCATATAAGACTTCCGGATGGAATACAAGCTCAGGGTGATTTACTTGTGAACTCTGAACCGAGAATGCATGCTCATATCGCACAACGGCACACTACCAACGCATTTGCAAATAATTAAATTCCTTCTCAAAAGCTTTCCGTTTCTGCACCGTTCTAATGACCGATGACCGTGTGATTCTGGTCTCGTGCATGATTTTCAGATTTCCTGCACGGTCTTATTTCTTGCATAAAATTTCTCTAAACTTCGATTCATAGGATCCTCGTCATTGAACACGGGCAAAGCAAACAGCTTCAATAAAGGTTGATTGCAATTGCACCTATCAAGATCGGTCCGTGATACAAGCAGTATTCAGTATGGATATACCTACCTTCCTACTCCTTCAGTTCATCTACTCATTTGTTGTGCCGTAAATATAGCTGTTGTACATGCGAGTAGCGCGCGCGCTTCTCCCTGCGACTCTGTCATTTTGATTATATAGTGTTTGACTTAATGGCCCGCACCGCCAATTGTTCAGCTGTCAGTTGCGACTTTATGACGTCTATAGATCAACATCACATCGCTTTCTCTGTGAAAATATTAATTATTACCATTTACTAGTACTTAATTTATAATCACAATCTCTGATTGTGACACTTCTAAGTATTCACGGTGTGGACCGCGCCTATGTTAGTATGGTTGGCTAATATACAATTTTATGCTTGCATAAAGTCGTAGACAAACATTATTAAGGATTGGTTACAATTAGAAGGTGTGCGAGGGCGTAACTTTGTCTGAACAGAGCTCGAAAAGATCAGTGACGAGCATTGATTTGAAATCGCATACCGCTCAAAAGGAAAATTACCCATTTATTGGATCATCTAGTTGAGAAAAATCAACCAAGAATAAGAGTATGAGCCGAGAGACAGCTAGTTCGGATTTGCTACTCACTCACTATGAGTACATCGGGGTACCATTGCAGACACTTTTGGGAACTCAGGCATGACCACCGAGTTTTCGCACTTGGGTGCAAACTGACTTTGTTCAGGTGTGAAACCTCGGTTGTTATCACAAGCACATAGTCATTAAGTTAATAAATAATAAACGAACGAAGAGTATTTCAATATACATTACACGAGTAAATTCTGTGGAAGGAGAACAAAGTATAATTATGCGTGATTGCATAGTATCTGGATTAAATCCTTGGACATTACAAAAGACTGGAAGAAGATAACATACCACATGGAAGCTTCAATGAACCCTTGAGTTTTATGGCTATTTCTTAGAGGATCGCTTGGCCACGTAAGCGGAGTCAGCACAGCCCCCACCTCATAGCCTGACACGCTACTCGTGGGTACACATATGCCAAAAATAGCGTTATAAATGAACCTCGTTCCCTTGAGCCTGAGGGAGCCCCAACACGGCAGCTCTGGGTAGGACCGCTGGGGTTGCTGAAATCTCAGGGCCAAAATAGGTCACCCAAAAAGATAGGCACTAAGATGGCGATACGTGCTTCCAACGCGTCGGAAGAATGTATCAAAGTTCTGATGGTGCAAGCTAGAAAAACCACGTGCGACGTTATCGGATTGACCGAAAAGAGAAGACATTGCTTGTTGCACACCTTTTTAGAAACCTAAGGAGATTGTTCCCTGGGACGTGCGACTGCTGGCGGTGTACATGGGAGTCCTCGTCGGTTCGCACTTGGCCATGATAATCATTTCATGGGAAAATTCGTACATGGCAACCCAAATCGGACGTTTGCTATTGATGAGATGTGGTTCAACCCCAGCTACATATAACAATCGTCATTGCTTACGCACCAACATCAATCTTCAAGAAGAGGAGCTGGGTGTGATTAATATGGACGTGGTAAGACTCTTCAGAGAGGACCACACTTTCTTCAAGGCCATCGTCAATGACTTCAACGCCAAGGTTGGCCCCAGATGGACCGTTGGAGAATTACACATCAGGACTCGTGGAACGGAGTGGAATGAGTAGGGTGAAAGGTCGTACCATGTCACACCATGAGAATTCGTCGTCCCAGAAGCCCTTTCATTTGCGATGGACTTGGGAGTCGCCTGCTAGACAGCCCCATTATGAGATAGATTACATCATCTTCAGTAGAAGATCTTTCCTGACTGATGTCGCTGTTGTTCCGAAGTTTTACACGGGATCAGACCATCGTCTTCTTCACGCCAGATTCTATTTGTCAGTGTGTGGGAAGAAAACAGTGAAAATGCAGAAGCAAAGCCCCGAGATCCTATAAACTGGGACCACTTCCCTAGCGAGTCTCTGGGAAGGTCCGTTATCGACAGGAACCGACTTATCGTCTGTCGGAGCTGCCACTGCATTTCGATAGTGCTAAGTTAGCAGGGAATCTACAGAAAGCTAGGGGACGTCTTTTTTCGAAGTTGTTGAGCTGGTACGCCAGCGTGGAATCGCGCGAGCTGCATGCAATCATCGACAAATGTCCGAACTTGCGGAGCTGCGCAGAAAAGCGATAAAGAAAGATCTGAAGTCGAGAAGAGCAGGAAGCCGCCAATACCGAGAAAAGCGTTCGCGAAACTCGCCGGAGTTTCGCCAATTACGAGACCAGAATGACTTCCCTTCGTCGTCCTGACGGGACAGTTACTGCATTTCGAGAAGCAATGAAAGAGGTCATCTCCGACTTATTCTCGGAACTCTACGCCAAGCACGTGTACCTGCCTCTCTATCATATTAGGTTGCGCCGCAGGAAAGAGTAAGTGCAGTGGCGGCCAATACTGCAAGCCGCACGGGATTGCGGCCCCGGATACCAGCTTAGTTGATCCGCCAACCTCTTGAGGTGCCCTAATAATTACAGGCAACTGCGGCGTGGGAAGTGATTAAGGGGAGAAGATTCACGATAGCAATAGTAAGTGAAAATCGAGTGGAAAAAAATAAGAAAGGTAGATTCAATGTAATTGCACAGTATACAATGTAGTCAAAGTTTGAAGGAAAAAAAAANAAAAAAAAACGCTGGAAGCGGAGGGTGTTGTAGAAGTTTACGACTTAAATGTCGTGAACTTTCACAACTTCCCTTTCCCCTTCCCAGAGGCAGAGGTCCACATCAAAGGCTAAATTGATAGAATCCATCATCTATGGAAGGCTCATACTACACAGCGTAATAAAGTTGGAAGCGCTGACTACTAATTTCAAAGACTATACGAAAGTGGTCAAATATTCTGATGATCCTCACGTCCGGTATGAAGAGAGTGTTACGGCTATGGACCTCATGAAGGGGAGCGTTGATCAGATCACTATGGTCATGTCGAAATTGTAAGATCTCATCGACAAAATAAAAAGCGAATATG